AACAATTTCGGCCATGACTGTAGTTAATGGTAGATCTAAATAAGTTTATACAATCGGATTGAATAGTGTATTGTCACCTTAACCCCTTGGCATCAGCACCTTCCAGCCCTTTATGAGGTTTGTCACAACGGTCACATGGTCGGAAAGGTCTCGATCACCAGTAGAAATTGAGATCTTTCCATAAGGCACTGGTAAATGTGCTGGGAGATTGCAGGACATGCGCTCTCAGCACGTTTATTTACCTTGGGTACGAAAATATGCAGCCTCTCGGTGTCAAGGCCCAGCCACCAAGAGGTCGCATATTTGCGCACTGTCAGCACCAACAGGTTAAAACTCTCACTTCCCCTGCTACAACATGTTCCTGATCCTAATATTGCATTCCCCACACTATGGGGTTGACTTACTAAAACTGGAGAGTGCAAAATCTGGTGCAGCTCTGCATAGAAACCAATCAGCTTCCAGGTTTTTTTGTTTTGTCAATGCTTAACTGAACAATCTGAAGCTAGAAGCTGATTGGCTACAATGCACCAGATACTGAGATCTCCAGTTTTAGTAAATCAAACCCATAGTGTGGGGAATGCAATATTAGGAATAGAAACATGTTGTAACAGGAAAAGTACGAGTGTTAAGGTGACCATACATTATTCAGTCTGATTGTATGATCTTCTTTAGATCTACCATTAACTATGTAGTGCAAAGGTAAACAGTACCTGGCTGAACACAAATTGATTGGATCAGCCCCTAAGAATTAAAAATCTAAATACAGTATAGAACTCTTCTATCATATGTGCAGCAGCTGGGCAGCATTGGGGGTCCTGTACCAGAGTACCCTAGAGACATAGGAAACAATGGGATATTTAACTCTCCATCACCTACAACTCTCAGTTTTGGGTCACATCTTTCAGATATATTGCAACATATTTTTTTTCCCACATTGAGTGATATAATTGCTAACTTTTTATGTAATAAAACATATCTGAGTAAAACATGATTAATAAACAACACTGGTACTTTGTTAAGAATTGAACACCAGCATAGGCTATCCCTTCCATCTAATTGCAGCTAGGGTGTTTTCTTGGGGGTATTGCGCCATCTGCTGGCCATCTGAAGGAATGACCCCACTCTTATCTCTTGCTGGCCTTTGTGTTTGATATGCAGCATTTAACAGACGCCAAGCGGATCGTAGAAAATAAGATAATAAGCGGGAAATCAAGGCTTCCTTTCTGCAGCTACAACACCTGGCACAGCAGTGATGCCCGAGCCCTGGCACTGTGTGATGAGAACGCCATGCCTTCTTCCCCAATCTTATGCCTTCCTCCCAGGTATCATTAAATGTTACTTCCAGCTGGATTCATTGTTGTCACAACTGTCAACGGTATAGTTTAAAGATCTATTCTAGTGCTAATAGGAGCCCCAGGGAGTTGAGGGATTCTCTCCTGAGCCACAGGTTGACTGTCACTGGACTTGTATGTGACAGATAGGAAGAGACAGCCTGCTCTACTCTCCATGCTGGACTGTGACACCTAGAAACCAGAAGAGACAGGTAGACTTAACATTTGTCTGCATATGGCAGATGACCCACAGCTAAGTATGGCCAATCTCTGCTTATATTGTCTTTATAGTCTACTTATGGCTCTATGTCATTGTTCCTATACACCCTCACTTTGTACAATGCAACAGTATATGTTGGTGCGATAGATGATAGATAGATAGATAGATAGATAGATATAGATAGATAGATAGATAATGAATAGCATGAATGTTGAATATAGTAGTATATAGATGGTATACCAGTGTGTATGAACACCACTTGTACCTATGTTATAGCTCCTATACATTGTCACTTTGTACAATGCAACAGTATACGTTGGATATATAGATAGAGAGAGAGAGAGAGAGAGAGAGAGGGGGGGGGGAGAGAGAGAATGAATGCATAGCATAAATATTAGATATAGTAGTACACAGATGGCATACCAGGTGTATGTACATCACTTGTACCTATACTATAGCTCCTATACATCCTCACTTTATACAATGCAACAGTATATGTGGGGGGGGGAGAGAGAGAGAGAGAGAATGCATAGCATAAATATTAGATATAGTAGTATATAGATAGCATATCAGGTGTATGTACACCACTTGTACCTATGTTATAACTCCTATACACTCTATATACAATGCATCAGTGTATGTGGAGGAGCGATAGATAGATAGATAGATAGATAGATAGATAGATAGATAGATAGATAGATAGATAGATAGATAGATAGATAATGCATAGTATGGATATTAGATATAATAGCATATAGATGATATTCCAAGTGTATGTACACCAACTGGACCTATGTTATAGTCCCAATACATTCTCAATTAGCAGAATGCAACAGTGTAAGTTGGGGCTATACATGTATACAGTAGGATGAATAGATAGATAGATAGATAGATAGATAGATAGATAGATAGATAGATAGATAGATAGATAGATAGATGCATAACATGGCTGTTGGATATATATAGCCATCTACAGATGACATACCAGGTGTATATACACCTGTACTTATGTTATAGCTCCTATAAATCCACACTTTTGCACAATGCTACACTGTTTATTAGAGCTATAGATGGGAAAATATGAACAGATGATAGATAGATAGATAGATAGATAGATAGATAGATAGATAGATAGATAGATAGATAGCACATAGCATGGATATTAGATATATACAGTAGTATACAGATGACTTACCATGTGTATGTACCGCATCTGTACCTATGTTATAGCTCCTGTACATCCTCACTTTGCACAATGCTGGGTTGTATGTTGGAGCTATAGATGGCAAAATGGATAGATAGATAGATAGATAGATAGATAGATAGATAGATAGATAATGCATAGCAGGATTGCTATATATGTGATAGATGTTGTTAGAGATGACACAACTTCCAGGTGTATGCATGTCACCTATGGTATAGCCCCCAAACATCTTCACTTTGCACAATGCTACAGTGTAGGTTGGCACTATAGATAGAAAGATGACAAATAGATGATGCCTGGCACTAATATTAGAGTTCTACAGTAGCAGGTATATGTATGCCACCTGCATCTAGACACTGAGCTGTAGGATAGCCCTGAGTGTGCCACTGTAACCTTGGAGCACAATAGCCCAGCAGAGCTTACAGCTCCCTAATACATATTGCAATCCATTTATTCACCCCAGCAGCCACACACTGGTGCTTTGTTAATCTAGAGAGTGTCTGTATAAAGAAAGACATATGTGGCCTCTGCATAGTAATGGGGCTCTTGTCTCTCCCCCCAGCCTGCTGAAATTCCAGCTAAAGCAGATAATACAGTGTTGTTGGAGCTAGCAGGAGGGAGAGCAGGATTTATGGGCACACTGATCAGTGATTCACAGCTCTCAGACACTGATTTCATGTGTCACACGTAAAAGGCAATGACAACACAGCCATCGAAAAAGATCCATTCGGTCCATCCTGAAGGACGCCCTTGGAGTTAGAACAGAATAATTGTAAGACATAAATTATATACACAGGATTGAAGCTGGGGAGAAGATTTTCCATAAAGCTAAATGCCCTTGGATGCTTATGAGGAATACATGAGCAGGATGCTCAATGCACTTACCCCTTTCGTCTCACATGCATTCTGACTGTTGATGATCAAATAAAAACTATCTCAGTCTACATTGGCTATAGCTGCATAATTTAATCATTATTTTAAATGTTGCATCAACTTGAAAAGTAGCCAGCATTATGTTGCTAGGTTCACACCTGAATGATTTGAAGCGCATTTTTTGAAGCGATTTAACGCTCAACATGAGATTCCATTATACTCAGTGGTGCCCATTCACACATGAGTGTCATGTCACTTGAAGCTTGTCAATGGATGCTTGGAAAAGTACAAGAGCTTATTTGAGGCAAAGTCACATGTTTTTGATCCCTGTAGACTTCAATGGGAGCACCTAAAAGGCACGCCTAAAAAAAACCCAAATGTGCTCCAATGCATTCTTTACAACCAAAGATCATAGGTGGGTGCTGCAGTGAACTGATGAATGGTACCATCAACAAAGTCCATAAGCAAAGTGATCATGGGCACACCATCAATATCAAGTGAGTCTTTTATTCGCCATCATAGGAGCAATGGGTTAATGGTAGACTAATAGATAGTACAGGTCTGGTCATTCCAGTCCAAAGAGCTGGAGAATGGGCCTTATGGGTGGAAAAATAATCCCTTCTAGGTTCACACTTGAACTTCTGCAAGCATTTTTGGAGTATTATTTTGTGCGCGTTAGTACACACATCTTTTTAAACATCTTTGAACTTGAGCAGCATTTCGGGGCCTTGGGAGACCCAAGAGATAGGAGTCCCCTGAGGTACCGAAACATCACTTGCTTTTATAGAGGCAAAAGATTTATTTGATATAGTGGGTGTGCCAATTAATTTGCTTAAGAAAAACATGTGTAATGTGCATTTTCTCCAGATTTCTTGCCTCTCTTTCTAATAGTAATTCGTTTTATATTGGCTAAAACAAAAATGCCTGAAAAACATGTGTGCAAACATTCAAAAAATAATGCACCAAAGACACTCAAGCCCAAGTCTGAACCTATGATGGGGGTCATTTATCTACCCAAAGGGATCATCCTCCAGCTTGTTATAGACTGGGATGACCAGATTTGTACTAGCTAGCCTACCATTAACCTTTTGCATGCACATTGATCTGCTTCCAAGGGTCTCCTACTCCATAGGCTGATGCTCTATCAATGCCCAAGTCTGCTTCAAGAGTAGCGTATGTACCTTTTTGAGCTTTAGTTGTCCAGTTACAGGCACCTGAGTGCTCATGTATGAATAGGCACAATTTACAATAAGCAGATTTTGGTTGTTGGGTTATGGAACTTTGAGCTTCAAGCTACAAAACACTCAGGTGTAAATTCAGGGCTCCACTGTAGAGCATTTATCAGGGGCCACCCTTTCCAACTAAACCCATCAAAATTTACCTCGTTGACTGTATTGTTCACAGCAGGGGGATTTTGTCCTCCTTTCCCCTGGGAGGTCTTTTCTGGGATCTTCTCATTGTTCTGGGGTGGTGGAGTTATAAGGCTTTAAAAACATAAAATCGCTTTTGGCCGATTCTGGGGTCAAGCAGACCTTATAACAGTAATTTTGGGGTCCACTCCCTGAAGACTCCATGCAGTTGGTCTGAACTTTATTACCAGAAGAGATCTGCAAGTTGATGTTGGAGTTCTTGAAAACATCTCCTGAAGCTCCAGACCTTAGGCAGCAACAGGTAGGCAGGGAACACTTGTAATCCTGCAGGGACAATCTGTCTTTGTGACATTTAATGACTGTGAGGACGATTATAGCCACCAGAAAGGTAAATGACACCGATCCGAGGGAGACTATTAAGTAGAGGGTTAGGGAAGAGGTAGAAGAGGGGTCTGAATTTAATGGGAGATCGTTGAGTTCTGAGGGAGTTTCCGGGATGCTGTCCACCACAGTGAGGACTATGGAGACCGAGGTGGATAAAGGAGGCTGGCCATTGTCCCTGACTTGGATGAGAAGTCGGTGCTTGGTGGCATCCTTATCCCCCAAAGAACGTATAGTCCTCAACTCCCCGGTGTATAAGGCAATGCTGAATAATGTAACGTCTGTAGCCTGCAGAATCTGATAGGAAAGACGTGAGTTTTGTCCAGAATCTGCATCCATGGCTGAAACCTTGCCCACCAGGTAGCCTGGATCGGCAGACCTAGGGATGACATCGGTAGCTACAGAGCCATTCTTTGGTAAAGGGGACACAATGACTGGGACATTGTCATTCTGGTCCAGTATGAAGACATTGACAGTGACATTGCTGCTAAGAGGGGGGAAGCCAGCATCCTGAGCCTGCACCCTGATCTGGAAGTTCCTGATCTGCTCATAATCAAAGGAGCGCAGGGCATAGATGTTACCACTGTCCGAGTTAATGGAGACATAGGTGGAGACTGGCATCCCCTGGATGTGACCCTCCATGATGGAGTAGGACAGGTAAGAGTTCTGACTGGCATCAGGGTCCACAGCAGTCACCGAACAGATGGAAGCCCCCGGCGGGTTGTTCTCCATCACATACACCGTATAGGAAGGTTGGAGGAAAGTCGGGACGTTGTCATTGATGTCCGTCACCTGGACATTGATGACCTTCTTGGTCAAGAGTGGTGGTGAACCAAAGTCCCTGGCGCTGATGGTGATGTTGTACTCGGACACAGCCTCCCTGTCCAGGACCTCGGTGGTCACCAGGGTGTAGTAGTTCTTGTAGGAAGAGTGCAGCTGGAAAGGGACATTTTTGGGGATGTCGCAGTTGACGTCCCCGTTGTCCCCGGAGTCGCGATCCATAACGCTGATGACTGCTATGACCGTCCCCGGCGGAGCGTCTTCCATGACCGGCGTGGAGACCGAGGTGAGGATGACCTCCGGGGCGTTGTCGTTGACGTCCAGCAGGTTGACCAGCACCCGGCAGTGCACGGCCACGGCTGACGGTCCCCTGTCTTTGGCCTGGATGTACAGCTCGTACAGATTGGACTTCTCGTAGTCCAGAACCCCTTTAACCCTGACGTTCCCGGAGCGGGGCTCCACCATGAACAGGTCCCTCACCTTCTGAGGAGCGTGGCCACTGAAGGAGTACTCGATCTCCCCATTGGTGCCCTCGTCCAGATCGGTGGCGTTCAGCTTGATGACTAAGGTCCCCCTAGGCACGTTCTCCTGGAGGTTCACCCTGTAGAAGGTCTGGTCAAAGGTTGGCACGTTGTCATTGGCATCCAGCACGCTGATGATGACCATGGCAGTGCCAGACCGCTCAGGGATCCCCCCATCCATGGCAGTCAGCAACACCCTATGGGTCTTCTGCTGCTCCCTGTCCAAGGGTCTCTCCAGAACCAGCTCGGCGAATTTGCTGCCGTCACTCCGGCTCTGGACCTCCAGGGAGAAGAAACCGTTGGGGCTGAGCTTGTAGGTGCGCAGGGAGTTGGTGCCCACATCGGGGTCCTGGGCGCTCTCCAGGGGGAAGCGGGCACCGGGAGCCGCAGATTCGGTCACTTCCAGCACGTAGTCATGCCAGGGGAAGCTGGGCGCGTTGTCATTGATATCCAAAATCTCCACCTCGACCCTGTAGAGCTCCAGAGGGTTCTCCATCACCACCTGCAAGTGCAAGGAACATGCAGGCTGGAACTCACAAACTTCTTCCCTGTCTATCTTCTCATTGACGAACAAAATCCCGTTCTCCAGGTTGACCTCCAGGTGCTGCTTGTTGCTTCCAGAGACGATCCTGAAGCGCCGAGAAGACAACTTGGAGACATCCAAGCCCAGGTCCTCTGCGATGTTCCCAACGAAAGCCCCGTGTTCCAGCTCCTCCGGGAGCGCGTACCTGATCTGGCTGGAAGCAGGCACAAAGCAGCAGGTTAGCAGAGCCAGGTAGACCTGGCCAGACCGCATCCTCATCCTCCGCAACATCTTCACTGAGCACCGGTCAGACCTAATGAAACTCAACAAATCCTCCGCTACTAAATCCTTCCTCCCCTCTCACTGGGGAACCCAGCTCCAGACAAGATCTCTTAATCCAATCTGATAGCAGAAAATCGCAGGCTCTTTGCTCAATGTGAGGATCGTGCTACATGGACTTGGCTTTCTTCAGTAGACTTTCAACAATCCCCCTTCTCCCCAGTCACCCCTCCCCAACTATTTTCATTTTAGAAGGGGAGGGAGGAAGAGAGCCAAATTCACATTTCAGCTTCTGTATTGGTGGACAGAGACAACTAAGAGCTGAGCTTTACAGCTGTTCATTAACCCTTGGAGCTGCCAGGGATCGGGGCTGTATCAAAGGAGGCATGCACACATCCCTGTAGACACCTCTGCTTCTGTCTCCTGCTTGACAGCTATTGCCTTCAGCTGTGTCTGGGCTCAGGTACATGGGGGGGGGGGGGGGGGGGATTTACTAAAACTGGTGCACACACAATCTTGTATGGTAGCCAATCGGCTTCCAACTTCAGCTTGTTCAATTAAGCTTTGCCAATAAAACCTGAAAGCTGATTGGTTTCTATGCAGAGCTGCACCAGATTTTGCATTTTCTTAACCATGTGCCTTCCTAAGGATTTACCCCCCCCCCCCCCCCCCCTTTCTGACCAGGCCATTTTTTGCATTACGGCGCTGCGTTACTTTGACAATTGCGCGGTCATGCAACGCTGAACCCAAATGATATTTATGTTCTTTTTTCCCATAAATAGAGCTTTCTTTCGGTGGTATTTGATCGCCTGTGCGTTTTTTATTTTTTGCACTAGAAATAGAAAAAGACTAACAATTTTGAAAAAAAAAACAATATTTTTGACTTTCTGCTATTAAACATGTCCAGTAAAAAAATTTTAAAAATCAAATTTCGTCATAAATTTAGGCCAAAATGTATTCTGTTACGTCTTTGCTAAAAAAAAAAAAAAAAAATCCCAATATGTGTAAAATAATTGGTTTACGTGACATTTATAGCATTTACAAATTGCAGTATATATACTGGGATTTTAACAAAACATTTTAATTTTTACTAGTAATGGTGGCAATCAGCGACTTATAGCGGGACTGCGGCAGATATTCTGACATGGGGCAACTGATTTGGTGTCGCTGACATCCCCAGTAACACCAATACAGTGATCAGTGCTAAAAAAAAGCACTAACACTGTACTATTGGCACTGGGCAGGAAGGGGATAACATGAGGGGTGATCAAAGGGTTAACTGTGTGCTGTTTTATATAGTGCTGTGTCCATGTGCTTCACCCATCCAAAGCAGTGTGCGGGAGCTGACAGGGAGGAGAACTGTTTACAAACAGTTCTTCTTCCTGTCGGAGATGTTCGGCAATCACCTTGCGCTGGCAACTAATCACCAGCTGGGACCCGGTGATTAACAGCCACGGCCACGTGGGTAGTTTATTTTTTTTATTTTTTTTATTTTTTTTCAAAAAACGCAGCAGTGTTTGATGTCCCTTCTGTAGTGCTGGCTCCTATGCCGTGTCATGGTTGGGGTTAAACAAGCAGCGGTGTGTTGCTTTCTAACCACATGCTTTAACCCCTTGGACCCCGCAGAAGCATGCAGTTGTGATACACTTTCAGAATGGCCCCATTTACTTGGATGGGTCTTGACTGACAGGTGGTAGCACGCACCAAAAGCAACAGAGGGTTTAATCCCATGTGCATACCTTTGGCTGCTGCCTCAGCAGCTAAAGGGGGTAGGGATTGGGGGTGGTAAAACCATGACTGCAGGGTTTTACCACCCCCAACTTTACAAGTGAATAAACCCTAAGAGTGCCGCTGCTGGATGCAACTAAGGGCTCATTCACAAGTGCAGCAGACACTACTGCTCTTCTGCAAAGTGATCCAAGTGTGTTTGACAGGTGGTGAGGAGGCGATAGGTTACTTCCTCACCACCCGATTTAAACCCATGCTTGCCATGGAAAGTACATGATTATGACAGAGTAGTACAGCAATTAGAGGTTTAAATCTGGTGTGAGGAGATGACACTGGTTAACACAGTTTTCAGTGATCTTTGACTTCGCCCATGTTGTTCAGGTAGATCTCCACCTCTTTAACCAGCTGCTGACTGCAGATAGCTGAATGACGGACACAGCTGATCACGTGATGTGGTAAAAGACCAATCACAGCGGCCTTTTACCACGTGATCAGCCGTGTCCAATGACACACTGATCACAGGGAAATGCAATTGCTTGTTCTCGGCTTCACTTTCCTCACGCTGTCAGAACCGTCAGTTGTCAGAGCAGGGATCGGCACCAATCATCAGGGCACCGATGATCAGTGCCCTGATGATCGGTGCCCAGCAGTGCCACCCACTAGCTCTGCCCACCTGTGCCCAGCAGTGCTGCCCACCTGTGCCCATCAGTGCCACCCACCTGTGCCCAGCAGTGCCCACCAGTGCTTATAAGTGCCAACCACCTGTGCCACCCACCAATGCTCAGCAGTGCCACCCACCTGTGCCATCCACCTGTGCCCAGCAGTGCCACCCACCTGTGCCCACCAGAGCCACCCACCTGTGCCCAGCAGTGCTACCCACTTTTTCCCACCATTGCCATCCACCAGTGCCCATTAGTGCAGCCCAGCAGTGCTGCCAGTCAGTGCCCAGCAGTTGTGCCAGACAGTGCCCAGCAGTTGCGCCAGTCAATGCCCCAGCAGTGCCACCTGTCAGTGCTGACTATCAGTACCCATCATCAGGGTCACCTATCCGTGCCACCTCATTAGTGCTGCCTATCAGTGCCGCCTATCAGTGCCCATCACTGCTGCCTCATCAACGCACATCAGTGAAGGAGAAAAATTACCTGTTTGCAAAATTTTAGAATAGAAACAAAGAAACTTTTTTTTTTTGAAATTTGGTGCCTTTTTTCTGTTTATAACGCAAAAAGTAAAACACCCAGCAGCAATTAAATACCACCAAAAGAAAGCTCTATTTATGAGGAAAAAAATGATAAAAATTTTCACATGGGTACAATCTTGCATGACCGTGCAATTGTCATTCAAAGTGCGACAGCGCTGAAAGACAAAAATTGGCCTGGTAAAGAAGGGGGTATAGGTGCCCAGTAGGCAAGTGGTTAAGGTTGCCTACCCCTGCCTTACAGGCAAGCAGATATACTGACAGGTCTGCAGGAGACCTGCATGGCAGCAGCAATTTGCTGATTGCTGTTGCAATGCTTTACTGGCTCCCAAAACAAAAAATAATAAACACACTTTTTTACCTGCAAAAAAATGTACGTTTATTATTTTTTTGTCAAAAGATGAACTTATCCTTTAAGCCTAGTACACACTATTAGAAAATCGGACAACTGAAGCCAACAAGGGCAAATGTAGCTACATACTAGGGTAGTAGAAGAGGAAGTGTAGGGTCGTTCTTTGCTTCTGATCATGCTCGCTTTTTCTATTCGATTATTTCCGTACAATTACTGTACACATTGAACAAAAATCAGATGTTTTCATGTACGATAACATTTTTCTAGCTTGAACCCCCAGTTTTTGTCATTAAAAAAGTTGGAATTGGCTGTCAAAATCACTATACTAATGATCAGATAATCAGCCGATTGTTCCTCCTACGGAAATATTTGTATGATTTTCTTACCATGTGTATGGGCTATTACTAAATAACCCCCCATTGTATCCACATCGGATAACACAAAGTTAACTCTAACATCTCTGCCTGATTTTGCTACACCTCAAATGCCATAGATCATTCTCATTATTATAGTCAATTATGTAAGTGACATAATAAAGGAACACTATAGCAAAAACTGTTTTCTGCTAATTGTATGGGTTTGATACGTGTAATAATAGTATTTGTATATGAATGCCTTTATTTAGCATATGAATTCTTGGGGATTTTTGTTTTTTTTTAACTGGTTGGCACCGCATGTCACTACACAGGAGTACAATGCAGCACACTGCTGTGCAATGACATGAATGATGTGACACTTCAGATAAAAATTGGAAAAAAAAAAACAATGTATGGTTGGCTATGGAATGGCAATCTATAGTTGATTTGTGACAGGTTGTTTTTATATTAAGAAGAGTATGTATGTAAAAGTGGTTTAATGAGTTCATGTAGTCTCATATAGAAGTAAGGTGGAGTATAGATTGGAGGTTATTTTGAGCAGCACAACTAAGGTATATAACAAGAAAAAAAAAAACAAGTAAGCAGTGTGATGCACTGAAACATGCACTGAACTCCTACTTGCCGGAGGTGGCACTGTTACTAGCCCCCATGGTACACCAGGTTACTGTGTGGTGTAAGATTTACTGCACAGGCTAATGTGAACATAGCCTTAGGGCTTGTTTGCACTATGTTCTTTTTTTCTGCACTGGATAAATGCAGATCACTGCTAGGGCACATAGAAAACAAGTGATTTCTATGTGCCCCCCTCACACCACCATTCTGGTTTGATGTGCAGCGCATTGGATTGCACCACATGTCAATGCAGAGCAGCACAATGCATTGCTGGGCAGAGACATGAATGAAGTATCACTATGTGACACTTCAAATAAAGTTTAAAAAGAAAAAGTAGGCAGTGTGATGCACTGAGACACACGTCACATAGCTCTTAGCTTGGGTTCACACTGACAGCTGCTTACTCAGTAAAACACTAGGTTTTACCATGTGGGCAGTGTGAATTTAGCCTTCGGGTCTATTCACACTGCAACATGTGCATTGAGCATTGAGAAACACATGGCGTGCTGCATTGCATTTTAACATGCACTTTTCTCCTTTATGTCCTGAACCATGCAAAAGGTGCATGCATGGGACATGGAATAGGTCTATGGCTGTGTGTTGAAGTGCTTTGCATTGCTCTGACATATGTGTATTGTGCTCAGGGGTGTATTTACCATGAGGCAAACAAGGCATTTGCCTGGGGAGGCATTTTTTAGGGGGATGCCGCACCCCAGCAGAAATTATACATGTGGGAGCCGGTGACTGG